TGACGGCTCCTTTATTGTTGGATTTTGTTTTTTGAAATAAAGCTATATAATGCCTCTTTGGAAAGTTTCTGCTTTTTTGAAAATAAAAAAATGCATCCTTTATGGAAATAAAATTCCTCCACAAGGCCCGAGGTGTCCTATGAAATTTAAATAAATGAAAAAAACATTTTTTCAAATTAAAATTTTTAATTTGTCAATGACTTCACAAAAAACAATACCACTGCACACTAGCTAATAAAATTTATGATCAAAATTCGAGAAAAAGATTTATGACCAAAGCTCTAATTTGAATTGGTGGATATTTTTTACAGAGTCGCTGTACCTGCTGATTTAGTTGCATCAACCCCTGGCTACTTCAAGCAGCCAACCACCAGCAGAGAAAATCAATCCTTCCACCATCACTGGAAGTGCTACTACTGATGCCACCAAAAGCAAAGCAAAACAACGTAAAACAAAGGTGGAAACACTGAAAGCGTGGAATTTTCCTTGGTTGCAATATGAATTGGACGATAATGGTGTCACCGTTAATAAATATTATTATATTAATGGAACCTTTAATGTTAAAAAGGACACTGCTGTTATTCACAGCAAGTCATTACTTCACAGAGAGTCAATGAAGACCTCTCAGCGTAAAAAAGGTGAGAAATCGGTTTTAAACCTGTTGGAGAACCTCCAGCCTGAGGTTCGTGCAAGAATGTGCAAATTGTTTGATATTGCATATGAAGTTGCAAAATTGGAAATACCATTTACTAAATACAAGGCACTGATTGAAATGGAAACAAAACATGGTGTTTCCTTAGGGAAAGCATATTCAAATGATAGGGCCTGCCAGAGGTTCATCGTTGAAATAGGTAGGACCATGGTGGATGAAATGAAGGCCGACTTTGATGAAGGATCTTTCTATTGCTCAATTATTTTCGATGGCTCTTCTGACAAGACATACTCTGAGAAAGAAGTTGTTAGCATAAAGTACCTTAAAGATGGTGTGCCAAGGATCAGGCTCTTGGGGTAAGTTAATTAAAAAAACAACAAATGATTCTTTTGTTGCATGTTTATGAAGCAAATACTGTAGTTTCTTGATGAGTTCAATGTTAAAGAAGTTCTCAATAATTTTTTTTTGTGAAAATGACAACCATTCCTTTCTCGCTTGTAGTTTTTATTCCTTCATCCAGCGAGTACTGTTGAGCATAACTTGCTATATGCAGATAGTTATTGGTACCTACTCTTTTACTGAACTCTAGTCTGCGTGTGACCAACTTCATTCATAATTATAGCCAAGTCCAAGTTTAGTGCAAAGTAGTATAATTCAGTGTATTATTTATGATTTATGCAGCCTTCTAACAGTAATCTAGTTCATTCATCTCATTCCCTTCACAGGATAACACACCCAGAGGCAGGTGATGCTGAGAGCATTTTCAATGCTGTCAGTGGTAAGCTGGATGAACAGCAGGTCACCATAGAGAAGTCCCTGATTGCCACTGCTGCTGATGGTGCATCCGTTAACTTTGGCCGGGAAAGTGGTGTTCTTGTCAGACTGCAAGAAGCAGGTGCCCCTTGGATGTTGAAAATACACTGTCTCGCCCATCGTCTAGAACTATCCCTTGCTGATGCTTTCTCAGATACTTATTTCAAGAGTGAGGTGAGAAATTTCTTAATCATCATCCATGCTCCTGTTCTTCAGGGTTTTTATTCAGTGCTGCATTCCTTTTTTTCTTTCAGACAAATCTCCATAAAACCTTTTTCTTCGCATCAGTAAAGAATTTTATCCAAATAAAATTGATTGGCTAAAAAATTGAATGCCTGTACTGTAGTAGCTTCATAAGGTAATGAATGATTGAAGCCCAAAGGCTCTCAAAACTTTTACAGGGCACAAAATAATTTCTCGTTCAAACTCTGGGCTGAATCCCTGAAAAAAATTTATGAATTATCACAGTATGTCATTAGATGCTAAAATTGCTTCTTTATATATTTTCAGATTGATGAATTCATGATGAACCTTTTCTACTTCTTCAAAAGAAGTACAAAAAGGTTCAAACAATTCAAAGACCTCAGCAAGGTATTGGGTCAGGATGTTCTCAAACCTACCTGTGCCCATGGAACTCGGTGGATTGACCACAGACTTAAAGCAGCCAATGCCCTTGACAGGAACTATGAGACCCTGGTCAGTCTATTTGAAGACTTTGCCTCAGAGGAGAGGAGGAAGAAAAAGGCAGGGGGAAAGGGCATCACTCCAGCAGAGAAGGCAAAGATGAAGGGCTACCTAAAACTTCTCAAGTCTGAGAAGTTTGTCCTCTGTCTTGCCCTCTACCGTGACATTCTTGATGACTTGGCCCATTTGTCCAAGTGGCTTCAGGATGACACAGCTCTTATGGCAGATGTAAGAGCTACTGTTGAAGCTACCCTGGGTCTTCTTACTCGTAAAAAAGAAACATCCAGGTATGTGAATCTTGCAAAAGGAGAGATGAAATCTGATGGTTTCTACAGAGGCCATAAGCTGACCAAGGGTACAGGTAGACGAGATGAAGTGGATTTCATCACAACTGAGTTCATGATGTTAAGAAATGACACCATAGACAAAGTTATATCTTGTGTATCAAGTAGGCTGCAGGATTTCATTGATAATGAAATCATCATTGCTTCATCCATTCTGGATATTTCAAACATTCCTGGGGTCAGTGAGAAGGAGGCCTTGCTAGAGTATGGAGTTGACCATTTGACTACCCTTACAAAGCATTTTGAAACTGTCTTGGTTGCTCAGGGGTGTGTTCTTTCTGAAATAGAAAGAGAGTGGGAGAAACTGAAGTTGTTTGTGTCAAGAAACAAGAGTACAAAAATGCCAAGTAGCATTGAGTTTTGGAAAAAGATGTTCCAGGAAAAAAGATCAGAGTATTCAAACCTTTTGCACATAATACACATTCTCCTTGTTGTTCCCATAGCTTCAGCTCATGTGGAAAGGCAGTTCAGTATCATCAAGCGCATCCTAGGTGATTTCAGGGGAAGTCTTAGTTTACCTGTTATTGAGCATCTCGTCCGGATTTGCTCTTCTGGGGTTTCAGTTTCAAAATTTGACCCAAATCCAGCTGTGGAAAACTGGTGGTTGAGTCAGAAGCGTAGGCCAAACTTCCGCTCAAGGAAGGCATCCAAAGAGTTAAGCACAGCCCCCCAAATACCAGCAGGTGGTGAGAAATCTGACTTGGAGCTGTTGTTTGCAGATACAAATTCAGATGCCAATGAAGACAGCAGCAGTGACAGTCAGTCTGAGACTGAATCTGAATCTGCAAATTAAGTCTCCACTTCTGATGACTCAGATGTCACGATCCGCTCCGTTCGATCCCGATGTGTGCCACGCCCCCTCATTATCCACGTGTGTTTTCCCGATCGTGCCCAGCTGTTCCTTGTTATTTCGGCTTGTCTTCTGTATTTAGTCCATGTCTGAGTCAGTCTTCCCCAGATCCGTCATTAATGTTCGTTAATGTTTGTTGTTGCCTTGGTTCTGTCCAGTAAAACCCGTTTGCCTGCACTTCCGGCTTCGCTTGCCTGTTTGCCCGCTCGCCCGCACGCACGAAATACAACAGAATGACGGATCTCGACAACGTGCCTCCGCGGCTCGAGGACCAACGCCTCGATCTGCTCCTGGAGGTAATATACTGGCTGAACCTGCCGGACGTCCAAGAGGACCCCGAGCTGCGGGACTTAGCCAGCCGGAGCGGGACCCTCTTGAGTGAGATGTCGCCGTCCGGGAACGCGCACACCATGGCGGAAGTGCGTGACAACCTCCGGCAGCTCGTCGACGGGGTGACGGAGAAGCGGCTCCAGCCGCTCACCCTCTCTCTGGCAACCCCGTCGCAACCACCCAACCAAAGCCGGAGGAAAAAGAAGAGGCGCAAGGGGAGAGGACTGGAGGAGACCGCGACCGTTTCCCTGGGGGCTTGCTCTCTCCGTTTTGCCTCTCTCCCCGCTGATTATTGGGAGGAGCCACTCCCGACACAGAACTCAGCGGGGATCACTGCAACTGCGCAGCTGCCGTCACCAGCAGCCTCCATATTCCAGGGTGGCCACCTGGAATATGAGGGGATCAGGGCTGTCTGGGATGCTATTCCCCGGATCCCCAAGGCCCTTAAAGGGACATCGCCTGTACGCCCGGCGCCGATCCTGGCGCCTATTCCGGACCTGCCGGCTCCAGACCTGCCAGCAGCGCTTGCTGCTGCTGTCGCCGATCTGCCCGCGGCTGCGCTACCTGCTGCTGCTGCCGCACTGCCCGCGGCACCGCCTGCTGCTGCTGCCGCCGCACTGCCCGCGGCACCGCCTGCTGCTGCTGCCGCCACACTGCCCGCGGCACCGCCTGCTGCAGCTGTCGCCGCTTTGCCAGTGGCACCGCCTGTCCTGCTTGACCCGCCTGTTCTGTCTGACCCGCCTGCCCTGCCTGTGGTCCCTGCTGCTGTCGCCGCTCTGCCCGCCGCTCTGCCCGCCGCTCTGCCCGCGGCTCTGCCTGCTGCTGCTGCTGCTGCTGCTGCTGCTGCTGCTGCTGCTGCTGCCGTCGCCGCTTTGCCCGCGGCACCGCCTGCTCCTGCTGCTGCTGCTGCTGCTGCTGCTGCTGCTGCTGCTGCTGCTGCTGCTGCTGCTGCCGTCACCGCTTTGCCCGCGGCACCGCCTGCTGCAGCTCCTGCCGCTTTGCCAGCGGCACCGCCTGCTGCCGCTTTGCCAGCAGCACCGCCTGTCCGACCTGACCCGCCTGTCCTTCCTGCTCTGCCTGCAGTCCCTGCAGCTGCCACCACTCAGGCTGCGGCACCCGCTGCGGCGCCCCCTGCTGGCCGCGTGACGGAGGCGCGTGACGGAGGCGCACGCCGAGG